GGAACAAAGAAATTGTGGCAACAAGCAATTTGTGGATGACTCTTTGGATTATGATATTAACTGGAAGAATTAAGTCTCACAACTTTTATAATTACTGACATCGAGAGATCTAGAATTTCATATGATGAACTGGAAATAAACCAACAAAACCCACAAAGATGAAAAGTTCTGTTTTTATCATTGTAAAACTCCAATTCAGCTCTGAAAGTCTTTGACCCAGAGGAGTCAAAGATTGTGATACTTATTTGCTAAAGTTGATCAAAGTCAACCAACAGTTTGAAGTTATTGTTGGGTTAAAAGACGCAAGAGAGTAATGATGGCTGTTGTTATTAAGGTTACAAACACGTGAGGTCCTCAGAAATGGGGAGACGCTGAGATCTGTACCTGCTTCTCGGCTTGTTTCAGGAGCTTCTGGAACCGCTCATCCTCCAGTACACCTAGTGGAAGGTCAGTCTCTCCCTGAGCTTTCAATTCCTCCAGCTTTTGCCGCAAGCCCCTCAGGGCCTGCAGCTCATCGTTGAGGCGACTCTGCCGTGTCAGAGAGGCCTGCAGGTCCAGTTCCAGGTCCAGAGATGTGCGCACAGGGCGCTCTTGGGCTGTTCTTCTAAGGACTGGCTGGCAGACAGCCTGGATGGTTGGAAACAAAACAACAGCAGAGCACTCTGTTAGTGTGGGGAGTGATTGTTCTTCCACCTTTCCTGGTGCAGGATGGGACTGTACTTCCCTGCACCCTGGAAGGAAGGGCAGGGTGGCCAAGCAACTTGCTTTGGCGCCTAGAGGGTGAGCGGGAAGGACGGGCACCATTTATCAGAGGCAGGATGGGAGGCACAGGTTTCTGTCCCCTGCAAGATGGATAACAAAGAACCTCACAGCGAGGCTCCAATAGCTTGGTCCTGAGTGAGAACAACACAGAACCTGGAACCCAGACAACCTGCAGTGAATGAATGGACAAGCAAGAAATAAACCTTTGGCTGGGTGTGGTGGCTCACACCTGTCATCTCTGCACTCTGGGAGGGTGAGGTGGGAGGATAGCTTGAGCACAGGATTTCAAGACCAGTCTGAGCAAGAGCCAGACCCTGTCTCTACTAAAAATAGAGAAAATAGCTGGATGTGGTGGTGGGTATCTGTAGTCCCAG